AAATAATAATAATAATAATACAAAATAATAATAAAATAATAATATTATCATAAAAATTAGCATAATTACTATTACTAATTATTAATAACTATCATAATAATTATTATCATAACTATGGTGTTTATCAGAATATAATCACAAATMTAATTTACTATATCAATTATCATTAAACCTTGTATAATAACTAGTACTAAATAGTATCACAAAAACAGGTGCTTTTAAGTATTTTTTTTTTTCAAAAAAAGAAAATCAATTCTATGTGAAGCTTTAAAACATGAATATATATGTAAAACAATCTTATAACATTAATTCTAATATTAAATGCAGTATAATATTTCTTATATGTTAAGATCAAGAAGTAATAAAAGTTTATATCCATCCACCTGAACTTTACTCTTCAGGAATATAATGTCAGCTTAGGTCTCTTTGCCTTTATTTTAACCCATTAGACTCCAGGGAGATCCTACTGACAAAAGGGAAAAGTTACAAAAAGGGTACAATTTAAAGTACAATCAGGAGTGKTGAATTTGAGGACTRAATAAGATATTCAMRTRAGCCTGGTTATTTATAAAAAGGTTGTTAATACTAATAAGTGGAACCAGGATTTTTATATTATACAATGTTAAAGTACATCTAAATATAATACTTACCTTYATTTACATTTGTCATCAAGTATGGCCTGCAACCTCTTGTGCTCTGCAAAGTCCTCTTTGAACTCCTTCTCTGYTTCTTTGYGCTTTGGTTGCAATTTTGTGATYTCCACAGCAGTTTCTTGTTTGATGCCGGTGACTTTAACTTTAGCTTTTCCCTTTCCTTTGAAGAACTTTCTGTTGAACTCCATGGCATGAGACTTTGCATTGAACTTGTGATACGTGAAACTTTGCTCTGGACCTCGTAGAAAAGCCTCTACCTCTGGATGACCAGGAATGACAGCTTTGGGTTGTGACCATCCAAGTCCATTCTTACCAGCCTTAATGATGGGTGAAAGTTGGTTTATACGTGCCTGGAGAAGGCCCTTGATAGAATGAGATGTACCAACTGTCTGGACAAAATCACTTGCAAGGAATTTCTTCCACAAACTTTCATTTCCATGGAGTAGAACATCGTCGACAACCTTCTCGAAGAATGTGGTTTCTTTCATGTTCACAAGGAACTCTCCACCTTTGACTATAGCATCGATGTCTTCATCTGGAGTAGCTTTCTGACTTAGGGCTAACTTGTGGACTTTTGCCAAAAACTTTGCACAAACTGCTTGATAAAAAGTGCTCTTCTGCATTGCTTTTTTCTTGTTCTTCCACAAGAGAGACATCATTTCAGCAAGGACAGGAAGATCATCTAGCCAACTTTTCTCAAAGAATGCTTTCTCAAACTCAGAACACAATTTTGGATGACTGAAAATTACAAGGCCAATTGATAGCACTCCTTCGTCAGTGCGATCAAATTCTTTTTTACTCAACATTTTTTCAACCAAGCTTTTGACCAGGAAATCTTTGAGTTTCCCTGGAGGGAAGTAATGTTCTAGGAGAACAGTCGCATGTTGGAAGTGCTTGACAGGACATGCCAAAATTATCTCTGCAACAGGTTTAGAAAGGGCAACTATTCCAAAAGTATTGATGAGATCTTTCAGTACAGTGACCATTTCACTAGATGGGATACCAAATGCATATGTCCAATGTTCGTAGGAAATCGAGAAGAACCAGTAGTCAGCAACAATCTTCTCTTTAAGCAATGCTAGAATCTTCAACGCCCAGTTAACTTCATGGAATGTYAATGTCATCCTAAGCATCGTAATGACACTCTGCTGGCTTTGGCAAATTACTTCTCCTTCTTCTTTAAGCAAGTTTCAAGGATTTCATTRGCCAGGTTTTTGAGAGATGACTTTTCCTCAGTGGCCTGCACAATATGTGCTAGGTATTGGACAGTGTTGTTGAGAGAGCTTCTGTACACTATCTTGATAGCTTCTTCCTTAGGCATAGCCACAAGAAGATAACGGCGGTACCAATTGACCTTTGTAGCACCTTCATTGCCCGATGGYCCACTACAYTTCCCCTCGTGACATTCTCCCCAAAACTCATCATCTTCTACAACATTCAACACATCCATTTCAACGTTAAATTGAAAGTCTCTTTTGAGCAACTTCCAGGGTTTCCCATCAATGGTAATGAAATTCAAATCATAATCCGTCTCCTTATCCTCACATTCRAAGCAATCACGCTTACAGGGCTTYTTCAAGGGTGGACCCCAACCCTGTTCYCTCGAACAAGAACCCATGAGATTATCACTTCTCTTCACTTCAACAATAAAAATCTCCACCTTCTTACTCTCTTCAAGAATGACATTTGCACCTTGTAAGCTTGAATACACAAGCCTGTCACCACCTTTAAGTGCTTTCACTCCCTTGTCAAGGAAAGATKTTCTTGAGTAATGGTGGTCCAATCCCCAGGCTACAATACCAGGATGTGGGACAATGTCGACAACTTTACCCAAGAAGCCAGCAAGGTTGCTTGTTGGAAGATCAGGRGGACTAGGTTCAACACCGTTGCCATCCCAGCAAAGGGAATACACCAAGGCCATACGATAGCCAGATTTAATTTCAGTTAGTTCATGCTCRCARTCAGCGTAGTGTGCTGCATAGATGCAGGATGATTTGGCTTCTTTRGTGCTGAACTGAACCCTTTTTTCTTTGCCTTTGTGCCTTACAATCAAGTCTCCTCCTTTGAAATTTGATGGTARTTGAATTATTAGAGTTGCGAACATTCCAGGGTGCTTTTCTGTATCCCTGTGGGGCTTGAAGTGTCCTCCWKGTTCATAGAAAAGTAGCTTGTACAATTTGGATGTCACAGAGATATCTCCACACCCGAGGCTTAACTGGATTTCTTTCACGAGTTTTTGTACTCCTTGGTTAAACTCTTCATTGGTGATTRTAAACYTTTSAGGGTCCAGCTGCCATGAATCTCTCACAGATTTGTCAACGATGGTTTCTTCYCCTAGACCRTAAGGTGCTTGTTGGAAATGTTTCTTRAGCTTTTTYGCTGTTGCAGCTGTAACTGGAAGTGGAACCTTCCCATATCCTGAAATCTCTAAGCCAGGCTTAGATGGCAGCTCAGGTTTAACACTACCAACAGCAAACTCATGTGCTGATGTCTTCTTCTGGTAAACACTGGTCAGGGCTTCAAAAAGGTCTTTCTTAAGMTGCTTTTTTTCCTCCGTCTCCTTTTCACGTCGGCTCATACAATAAAGTTCTGGATRACCATCAGATTCATTTCTTGCGAATACATCTACTTCATCAGAATCCTTCTTTTTGGATTTGACTTTTTTGATAGTTGTATATTTAACTGGGGAGGGATTGAAATCAGAACCAGAATCTGACTCATCTTCTGAGATTTCTGCCTCRGAATTTTCCAAACTTGGAATTTCTACATCAGRATGTTTRGACTCRGAATTTTCTAAACTGGAGGCTTCTGCATCAGAGCTATCATCATCAAAACTATCCACACCAGAAAGTYCTTCATCAGAACTGTCATCATAGATTTTCCGCTTATAAGACAACATGATTTTTCTGAAATCAGAAAAGGAAATAACTACAGTATATATTATATGACAGAAATAATGACGAAATTGGAAAGTTTTGATAAATTTGATAGCTGAGAAATTTTGGATATACTAAACGAGTACTATCTGGGACATCCAATAATTATTATCATTATAAATGGCAGGTGCTCTTTAGACTCCATACGAAAACCATCCAAAAATCATTTACAATCCAAATATTTACTATGATATTAAACCACAATTATACACAATACAAATTTTAAGATAAAAAATATTTCAAATCACTTATAATTTAACAATAAATGTTATACAGACAATAGATGTTGAGAGGGATTCACAGTCCACAGGGGATACTTCATAGCCCCCCTCCCCCCCCTCCCCTCCCCCTCTCTGCTCACCAATCTGAAATATTTTAGTTTTTCGTTTATTTTTAAGATATTATGCTATTATTTCAGAAGACATTGAATAGTGTGCACTGCATAGTGTATTCCAAGGACGCAAAGTATTGTTGTTGTATCAAACTCTATTAGCTGCAGTACAAAATTACAAATTAACTCAAAGACGCAACACTGAAATGCAGCAATATTTCACTATTCAATTATTTATTTTATATAGAATCAGCTCACAGAGAATCAGAAATTTTTTTGTCAGGCGTCATAGGCACTTAAAACTGCACTGCAAAATTACAAATTTAAACTCAATCAATACATTTCACATATACTAATTGCTTTACTTTGAAGTTTGGTTCTACAGAGCTAGTAACTCTGAAACCATGAAAACCTCTTTTCAGCATTAATATAACGACCGACAATGCATTTTTGGTCTTGAAATTCACTATTTTCAGTATTCAAAATTTTTTGAAACAGAGACCTTGATGGTTATAAGGCATATTATAATTGCAAAATAGAATAACAYGTGCTCATGAAGAAACCACTGCGATCCAATCTAATAATAGTATTCCGCCCCTTCCTAGATATAACAAAAGTCCACGTCTTACAATAATAGCGCTTTGAAAAGATGCCGCCATTTGATCTATTTTATCGTGGTTTACTAGAARCTCTASCGTGGTATTTTGCTGTCAACTGTAGCAATGATAGACAAARCGTACTGACTCGACATTGTTTCTTTGTCGATCAATGTTTTTMATTTGAATTTATAATTCTTTTTGGATTGCTTTAAGTAGAAACTAATTGCTCATTGTGTAAGACAAGATTTCAGAGATTTGTTTGATAAAAACGTCAATTACTTTAATTGTCAATTAAATAGTTCTTTGTGTTATTCGAGTTGCTTGGTAAAAACATCGGTCAAGGGTCAAAGTTTCGCGCCAAATCGACACGAACAAAACATTCCTAATAGATGGTGATCAGATTACTAGATGAAAAGAACTCACGTTTCTTCACATAAACCTTGCTATATTTAATGATATTCTTGTTCACGGAATAGCATAGAATACATTTGATACATGAAATATGCTTTGGTATCAAAAGAATTTGCGGCGCAAATACATGTATGAATGCCTTCAAGTTCAAGTCAATTTTTGGTTTAGAACAACACGATTATTCAATCATTTTCAGACTTCAAGAAATCCTTGAATAAGCTACAGTATTCGCAATTAAAAGAATGACCACGGAACTTTAAGAACATTTAGAAAATATATACATTCCTGACGAGATAAATCCATAGACAATCGCCAAGCGTGTTAACGCGCAAGTTGCGGCGTAAAGCGAATATTTCATCTTATATGCAATATTTTTCCATAAAATCCTGTCCTTGGCTTYCCTTAAGATAAAGCTTACTCTTGTACAAAGCAATGTGGCTTACCTTGGCTCCAAATCGAGGAAAAAAGGAAAAAATGTACCAACACAACGAACGAGGACCCACTCTTGTAACTTATCGTGAGGTGAAGTGCAATGAAGCTCGCGCGTTCGAACATGCGCAGAAAATTTTGGCGGGAAAATCCATCCGGCAGCTTCCGTTTCCTGYGGAATTTCATACATACCAACGTGCTTTCTGCATAGCTTGACCAATCAGACTTCTCTGTTAAAATTCTCTGTAGTTATACTTCAGTTAATTGGATAATAGTTGACTGATTGACATTGGTTGAACATTCTGAAGCATTTTTGGGGTCAGTTCATCGAAAGAAGTCCCAAGATAACTTTTCATCAAAGCGGTAGGTTCAAACTTTAGAGGAGTATTATGCAATGTTTTTGCTAAACTTAAGAAAATAGTTTAAKTTGTTTAGTTCATAATACGTTTCTCATAGTATAACAGCAGTTTTAGTTCGGCTGCGAGCAGGCTATAAAATCGTAAATAAAATAAGGGTCGATCTTTCTCCTTCAAAATGAATTATTTTTACTGTAGACGCTTTACCTGCATGATCACTGAGGATTATCCTCATTAATGCCACATCTTTAGCCGTCTATTTTAACAGCAAGTTAGAAGTCATTCGTTGTGCATAAAAGATTGATGATTTTAAAGAATTATATGGTTCARTGAGCACTCCCATGTACTAGAAACGTCTAGAGAGCGAGGCTCGTCCAGATAGATCGATAAGAAAAGAAAGAAAGAAAGCAAAGACGGACGGACGATCCCTTTTTAAACTGCTGTCTGCATTATTCACGATCGGAGAAACTRGTCTTTTTAGGGTGAGTCAGATACGATGTCATATCACAATTGATTAATCATAAATGCATAATACACAAGAAAAATCCAAAAAGTGTTACACATAGCAGGTATTGAGAACATAGTAATGGCATTGCTGCATTCCCTGTCTGACATCGGAGTTTACGAAATTTCATAAGTATCGCTTTTCGCGATGATGTATTCTATGCCGGGCTAAATGTGCATGGTAAACTATCAGGAAGTTTGCAGCGTATTCATATTATTATTTGACTCTAAACAAAATTATAGTATTTTAAAATCGAGCAGATTTAGATTCCTGTCACACTTAGCGTGACGCAGGCACTAAATTAGTGGGAGTTTTAAAATGTACAAAACAAATCCCAAAAATACTATCTAAGAAAGAAAAAACCTTTTGTAACTAGTTATAGTATTTTAAAATCGATGTCTTATCTAATTACAGAAAATTTCAGAATATATACAATGTCCGTACGAATAGAAAACATAACTCGGCCACTCTGTTTTTGATTCTCGGTTGCGCAATCGCCGCGCTGTGAAAACCTATATTATACGTTTAATGAAAAAAAGCCAATGAAATAAAAAATATATAGAAATAATTACTAAATGATTCTGCAGATATTGCAAACAAACATTAATGTAGGAAGCTAATCAAAGACAACAACAAAAAGAAAAAAAAAGAAATATGAAAAAAGAAAAAACTTGAGTGGTGGGATTCGAACCCATGACCATAAAATCGAAAAAAGGTTGGGACGATTCCCCCGAGACATTCTGTGAAGCTGAGGCGGCGAATCGATTTACATTCCGGTTAGAGATTTCGGCTCTTCCATGCTATCCCGATAATTGGTCCTAACTTCGCGCTAACTAAAAAGCCAGTGAGGGAGAAGCTATCCGGCCCCTAGACACTGATGGATAACCCCTTGCACTAACTAGGCAACTATCGAAAGTATAATGTCAAATTGGGGTAGTCTATTCGGTGAAAGTGTCAAGTGGTCTATTATTATGTAAATGAGAGTGATCCAGTGGCGCACCGCGTTAAGGCGCCGCTTGCAAATCCAATGTAGGTTTGACGGTAGCGGGATCGATTCCCTGGAGGAGACGTTTAATGATTTTGTTTTTTCCTTTTTATTT